AATTTCATCCCTCATCAATGCCGGTGCTCCCAAGAATGCAACTGAGGCACACAGTTTTCTTGGTTTGGCCCAGCACCTTGCACGCTTCATCAAGGACTTTGCATCCATTTCCACTCCAATCCGTCAACTCACACACAAAAATGCCAAATGGGTGTGGGGCCCAGAACAACAACATGTATTTGCTTGTCTTAAGGCTCGCATGGCAACTCCAGAAGTCATGAAGTACTTCAACCCTCGTTGGAAACAGAGCTGATCGTTGATGCCAGCCCTGTTGGACTGGGAGCAATTCTCACACAGTTAACAGCAGATGAAGGAATGAACATTATAGCTTATGCAAGTCGTTCACTCACTGATTGCGATAGCCGTTACAGTCAAACCGAAAGAGAGGCCCTTGCAGTGATCTGGGGAGTTGAACACTTTCACCTGTACCTGTATGGATCATCTTTTCGCGTCATCACAGATCACAAGCCATTAGAAACAATTTTCAACAACCCCACCTGCAAGGCAACTGTGAGACTTGAAAGACTACAGCTGCGCCTACAGCCATATGAAACTGCAGTTGTTTACAAGCCAGGAGCAGACAACCCAGCCGATTACATGAGTCGTCATCCTGATCCCAAGCAGTCACAGACCCCCCCAGCATTTATCGAGAGTTGATGCCTATGTCAACTTTGTGATCACTAATGCTTTGCCATCTGCCGTTACCCTTCAAGAGATCAGAGATGCGACAGCTACCGATGAAACATTGCAGAACCTGGCAAGGGTGATAACAACTCAAAAGTGACACGAAGTCGGAAAGGATGTCGGTCAGTACCAGCAGATCAAACAGGAGCTGTCAGTATCAAATGGTGTAATTCTGAGAGGAACCCCCTATAATAGTTCCTGGAAGACTATGTTAGCCCACAGTGGACATCAAGGCATTGTCAAGACGAAGCATTTTATAAATATTAAGTAGAAGTATTTATCAAATGGTATAATCTTTGAATTACTTTGAATTCTTGAAACTTTCGTGAAATCATTTGTTTACATCACGGTTGCTATGACACTTATCGATACTAAACTCTCCATCGCTTAGGTAATTGTTACTAGAATAATTTGAAAGGTTACTACTTGATAGATGTATTAAACTTTCCGATCTTTAAAAAGATTGCACATCAAACTTGTCTTTCTAAAAGATCACTAGTTTGTTGCTACACTGACATGTTCAAGTTGTCAAATCACAGGTCAGCGGTAGGGCTGGCGCTCAGACGTGTTTTTCGTCGTTCCACATTTTCGTTTATTTTGTTGCTGTATATTCTGTCAAGTAGCAGAGTTTTTATATCAAATGTCCAACAGATTGGATTAAGTGTAAATGAGGGTTGTTTTGGAAATGCTAGCAAGTCTGTGGAACTGGTTTCTTTGTCGCTTTGGGGCCGTAGGATGCCTCGGTAGCCGGTTGTTTCACTACAAAGTTGTTTTGCTACAAAGTTGTTTCGCTACAAGTTGCTACAAGTCGTTTCGCTGCAACACAGAGTCGATTCGCTACACACACAAAGTCAATTCGCTACACATCTAAGGTGGTTTCGCTTCAAACTCCAGAAAACCAAAAGTCAATTTGCTACATAAACCTATAGTTCGAAAACAAACGGCTTTTTTATAGTCAATAATACATTAGTAACGCAATGACTGATCTCGAACACGAAACTGAAGTGCCTGAACATACCCAAGCCTCCGCAGTCAGATCATGCAAACGAGTCTATAAGTCAATTTACTACGTTCATTTATTATCATATGTAATACCAAAATGTCGGCTCAACAGCATACACATACAAAAAAAAAAACTAATGTAGGGCAACCGACCTATGACGAAACAGTGTATTTTCCTTGTACGACAGACCTATGAGGAAACATACTTTTTTAAACCAATGGGAGTGCTTTAAACTCAAAAAGATGATATTTTGATCCTATTGCCTGTATAAAACAATCAAGAGTGCGAAATTGATCATTCATTCATTCTATCACGACCTTTGAGTTACCACAAGTTATTACGAGTTACTACGAGTCTCTTCAAATTTCTCCTACAATGGCTTATGCGCAGATTGTCAACTGTATTGTTTGCAACAAAACTGTTCGTCCAAGGCAGCAGGGCATCCAATGTGACGGATGTTTGCGTTGGAATCATCGAACATGCACAGGTATGTTTCATATGTTAGTATGTTACTTTTATTCCTGATATTTCAGGTTACCACTTACCTTTTAATTAAGCATTTTTACCTTAGAATTTTTTTCTCATTTCATAGGAATAACGCAGGCCACGTACCAAGCAGCAGTTCAGGATGGCGGTAACATCAACTGGTGTTGCGCTGTATGTACCGAATTGGACGCAGGAACCTACGAAGACTCCACCCTTTGCGAACCAGAACCAGAGCCGGAACCAGAATTCGATGAGCCATCCCTTCGATCAGATGAGCCATCCCTGGTCGACCCGAATCCTGCTGACACCAGTTCCGACTTCAGCTTCAGCGACGTTACCTACGAAATAATGGAGCAGTGTTTGAAGCAGGGACGTCCCAAGCTGATCAATACTCAGGGCTACACTTACAACCAACACAGACAGAGAGGGATCGTCACTGACTGGCAGTGTACCGTCCGGCCAAAGATGAACCCATGTCGAGCCACCGTCAGACAGCGCGGCTGCTATGATTTCCAAACTGGCAGCAACCTGCACAACCATCAGCCTCAGGTGGGGGCCTCTACTGCGGCAAAAATCACCACCAAAGTAAAAGCCATGGCAGTGGAAGATGTCTTCAGACCAGCACCGGCCATTGTTGACGAGGTCAGTAATACTAGCTAACATTAATGCATCTTAAGACAAAATTAGGTGAATTTTTATTACATACCTGCCTGTGCAAAGCTTTTCAACAACTTACACTGTAAACTTTCAAATTACAGCATTGTTAATTATTTTTCTTTTTTTAAAAGAAAAATTGGTTCTTACTTGCGGGTTTTTACCGTGTCTTCAGAAAAAACTTACTTACAACTTATGGTGTGGATTAATAAAAATCTTTTTATGTTTAAGGTTCTGCTTGAAAAACTGACTGATGCACCTTGTCCAGCCCTTCCTAAACCGGAGTTCATAGCAAGACAGGCCAACTGACTTCACCAGCCTTTGGCTGAAAGAGCCAACCAAACTTGACTTCAGTCTGGAGGAAAACCATCTGCCTGATGCCTTTATGAAAGCAGATCTCAGCGTCCACGGCTGCTGCCACATCATATTTGCTACCGATGACCAGCTTCTCCACTTGAGCAAGTCAAAGACTTGGCACATCGACAGCACCTTCAAACTGGTCCACCACCCATTCAAACAGCTCCTGACCATTAATGCCTTCATCAGGAAAGACGATCACGCCAAGCAGGTCCCGCTGGTCTTTGTGCTCATGTCAGGCAAAAAGAAAAAGGAATATCGTAAAGTGAGTTCCACTACAATTCAATTAAAGATTTGAGAACGTAGGGGTATCTTTATAAATCTTTATTAATTCGATTGAAAACTGTTCTAACTTTTAACGTAATTAGCAAAAGTTTGATAACGTCAGGATATCTTGTTTTTATTGTTTTATTGTGAAGTGAACAGATGAAAATTCATATCATTTGAACGACAGAAAAATTGAATCAAATGAAATTTCATTTGTTCACTTCACTGTATGAATTGTTCGTATTATTTCTGCTTCTACCCAAGGTATTAAAAGCTGTCCTTCATTTGCTGCCTGGTCAACCTGCCCTAGCAAAAGTAACAATCGACTTGAGAAGGCGATCTGGACGGTACTAAGAGAACTGCTGCCCGATGTTGAGGTCCAAGGTTGTGTATTCCACTGGACACAGGCACTGTGGAGAAAACACTACAATATTCGCGAAAATTTCTTTGGGCTTATGGAGTTTGAAGCGAAACGACCTTAGATGTGTAGCGAATCGACTTTGTGTGAGTAGCAAATCAACTTGTGTTGCAGCAAAACAACTTGCTGCGAAACGACTTTGTAGCGAAACGACCTTGAACCGATGCCTCAATTTGTCCGCCATCTTGGAATATATGTGAAAGGATATTATGCCACTAGGATAACCCGTTATCCGAACTCTGTTGCCACTTTCAATCAAGATCGTTTGGCTACTACTGGTGATATCAGCCTAAATCCTGGCCCTGACCGAATTGTTTCAGACAATGGTAAAAAACCAGTGTGGAAGTTTCCATGTGCTGTCTGTGATAAGCCAGTGCGTTGTAATCAGAAGGGAATTCTTTGCAATGGTTGTGACAGTTGGCATCACATTAAGTGCATTGATATGGATATCGAGACTTATGTCGCTCTGAGTTACTCTCAAGATCAATGGTTTTGTAAAGCCAACAGTTGTAACTGGCCTTTTGATTTCTCTGACTCGTTTTTCGAGTCTTCGTTCTCTTCTGATACAGTTCAGATTTCAACACCTGCTCATAATGATTCAAGTGTCACCCCTACTCTGCGGCATAACGATCAACTGGAGAATCAAAGGAATATCTGTAATGATATCCTGTTATGTCACCTGAATATAAACAGCATACAAAACAAATTTGAGGAGCTTGTCGCTTTAATCAGGAAACTAAAAATTCATATAATATTTATCAGCAAAACAAAAATTGATTCCACATATCCTGATAGCCAATTTGCCATTCCTGGCTATACCTTATACTGTAATGACAGAAAAAAAGGAGGTGGAGGCATCCTGGTTTATATATCCACACTACTGCCTTGTAGAAGGCTTAAGATTACCAGGACCTATAAGACACTGGAATCCCTCGCAGTTGAGATTTGGCTTGGCACATTTGAAATGATCATTATTGGCATCTACTGTCCACCCAAATCGGTATCTGGTGATTATCAACAACAACTAGAAGGGGAACTTAATGGTATTTGCACCTGGGCCTCTTTACGGAGAAACTTTGTCACTGTCATTGGTGATATTAATCTTGATAGACTTAGACCAGATAAAAGTGAAGGGAAATTACTCTTAGATTTGGAAGTGGAACAAGAACTCACATGTCTTATTGATAAACCAACACGCATGGAGAAGAAAAGTCTATCTCACACCTCTACCCTCTGATGTGTTGTTGACAAATAAATCAGAGTGATTTAAGTGCGGTGGTGTTTACTACCCATCACTCAGCAACCATGCCCTTATTTATGGGATTTTCAAGGAAAACTTCAACAACACCCAAACAAAGTGATTACTTCTAGAAGCTACAAAAACTTTGATTATGAAAAGTTTACCCAGGACCTTTCTGTAGCTCATTGGCATGTGGGAGAAGTGTTCAACGATTTGGAAGATCACGTGTATTATTGGAACACTTTGATGGCTAACATTATTGATGAGAATCTTCCATTGAAAAAGATGAGGGTAAGAGCTAAAGATGTACCTTATATGACGACAAATTGGAAACATGCTATTAGGGCTAAGAGGAGGGCATTAGCAACCTATCAAAATGACAAATCTGATTCCAACTGGGATGCACGGCATATATGGCGTAATGAAGCCACGCGACATAGGAGAATAGCAATCAAGTCTTATTGGAAGAGTAAATCTGACCATCTCAAGGAAAAGCCAGCAGACTTTTACAGAACTTTTATGCCATTTCTAGGCTTGAATGCCCAGGCAAGAAGCACCGAGTTTAATATCAAAGTTGGAAATGAAATTGTCAAGAATCCAGACAAGGTAGCTGAAACCCTAGCCAATTTATTTTGCTTCAATTGCAGATGGCATCGGTGGAGATAATATTGAAAATTTAACAGAAAGTGATTTCAACAACCATCCAAGTGTCTTAAAAATAGCACAGCGCTTGACTCAACGTGATGCTATAAAACTAAACCCCCTTCACAAAGTGCAAGTTCAAGAAGCAATGGAGTCCTTAAAAGTCAAGAAAGCATCTGGCTGTGACTCCATTCCTCCGTTTAATTTAAAAGTTGGCGCAGAGGCAATTGCTATCCCTCTCACTACGTTATTTAACAGATGCATAATGGAGAGTAAATGGCCACAGTCATGGAAAAAGGGGGAAAGGGTTCCAGTCTTTAAAAGTGATGACCCCCTACTAAAGGAGAACTATAGACCTGCCACTGTTCTCCCAGCTGCAGATAAGGTCTTTGAGCAGATTGTAGCTAAGCAACTTGTGGGGATGTTCGATCACCGTCTTGGGCAAGCCCTGTCGGCCTATCAGAAGACTCACAGCTGTGAGACTACTCTTATTAATCTTTTCGAGAACTGGAGACATGCTAGGGACAATAAGCACCTATTAGGAATCTTATCAACAGATATGTGAAAGGCCTTCGATTCTATGCATCCAGCTCTGCTGCTGAGTAAACTAAGAGCATATGGTTTTGAAGAAAATTTCATCAATTTGTTGCGCTCCTATTTATGTGGGCGCTCTAACAGAGTGAAGCTTGCATCTCGAAAAAATTCCTGGAAACGGGTTAACCAAGGTTGCCCCCAGGGGTCAGCTTTGGGACTGTTGCTGTGGAATATTTTTCAAAATGACTTAGTCTATGAAATTGAACGGAATCTAAGCATGTATGCTGATGACAATCAGCTTTTTGAAATTAGTGATAACGTTGCTACGATTAATGACAACCTTAATGCAAACGCAAGAAAAGCATCTTCATGGTATGAGTCCAACTTACTTAAGGGGAACCTCTCCAAATACCATACTATGTTGATACAATAAACAAAGAGATGGGAGAGATGAGATAAACGTAAATGTACAAGGAACTGACATTGATTCTATGAACAGTATTAAGTTACTAGGTGTCACTATTGACAACAAGCTTAATTTCAGTGTGCACATAAATATCACGTGCAAGAAGGCTAACCAGAGGATAGGTGTACTAATGAGACTTAAAAACTTAGTGCCCACCGTTGCTAAACTACACCTTTTAAAGGCTGCGATCCTTCCATACCTCACCTACTGCCATCTCACCTGGCATTTTTGCCGAGCAAGTGACAAGAGAAAACTTGAATGCACTCAGGAGAGGGGTTTGCATGCAGTCTTCAGAGATAGTAAATCTACATATGAGCAATTACTAAGAAGGCTAATTTAAAATCTCTTTATGAAAGAAGGCTACAGGATATAGCTTGTTTAATGTTTAAAGTGAGGCATAATCTGTGCCCACTGACTGTTAAAAATTTGTTTTCATTGAAAAGTTCCTCTTACAACCTCAGAGGTGCAGATTTCCACATTCCTAGATTTAATACTGTTACCTATGGAAAACATTCCCTAAGATATATTGGCCCTTTGCTGTGAAATCGACTTTCAACTAACATAAAAACCTCACCTTCCCTACAATCTTTTAAAAAACAGATCTGTTAACTAACCTTTTGTCTAAATTAGAATACAATTGTGAGAATTGTGTTCTATGTAGCACATGAACAATTATCTGGCTTAGGGAACGCTCTCTGTGTTTATTTGATTTAATAATGAGTATTAAATAAGGTAGTTTAAACTTTTAGTTCTTAATGTCAATGACGTATTTAAATTTTATCTATTGTAAATAGTTAAATTAGTTGAATTTTAACTTATTGTATTGAGTTTAGGTGTCCCCTATTAGTAGAGAGTTTCTTACCCTCGGCTAGATCGATTTGACACATGAATAAAGTTTTTCATTCATTCATTCATTCACAACACTTACACATGCCGACATTTGATGTGAAGCACTCTCTGAATATCGAGTTATTAACGTTGAACTGTTTTTGCTGTACATATTACCAGTACACCTAATTGTCATTATATAACGAAGATATAAGACGCAAGTTTTCAATAGCTCTATTTGAAACTCTTAGAGATTGATGAAACATGCTGTTTGAAGGTGATCAAACAGGAAGGGAAGACTGGTGACAATTACTTTCGAAATCAACATGGTGTCCTTAGCGTGGGTTGTCATGTTTGCATGTTTGTGGTGGATGATGTACTGTCAAAACTAAAAGGTTTTCCGTTTAACAAAGGAAAAGTTAGAAGTAGTCATTCGAATAGGGAGTTCTTTACATTTTTATAGAGAGAGATTTGTACCTTTCCTTTCTTCAAGTAAGAATAGTGATCGTGTTCACGAGCATTTCGATCTAGTTGAAGTTATTACGTAAATAAATGTCTATGTTCTCGCCGGTGGATCTTATTGAAAGTGACATGTGAAGGCAAACTGCAAGTCCTTGCTGAAAACTAAAGATGCATTGTGGCGTCGGTGGATGGGCGAGTACCTGCGATCATTACGTGAGCGCTATCGTCTTAAATACGGTGACAAGAAGTGTACCCTTGCTGTTGGAGATGTAGTTGTCATCCAGTCTCCTGAGCAGAACCGAAACTGCTGGCCTCTTGGTATTGTCGAGCAGCTTATTGAAGGAAGAGATGGTGTAGTTCGAGGTGCAAGGTTGCGAGCAGGCCCATCACACCTTGAACGCCCTATCCAGCACCTCTATCCCCTGGAACTGTCGTGTGACAAAGAGAATGTGCAGAGAAACATGACACCCCTCGACCCTACAGCACCTGTGTTCAGACCTAGACGAGATGCAGCAGTTGCAGCCAGCCTTCGAATACAAGAAGTGGCTGAGGAGGAGGAGCTGGACTAAACATTACATAAAGAACCTTGAACTGAACTGAAAGAATGTTAATATTTTATTCTTGATTGCTGATTTTCTTTGAGAAGCATTTTTCAATCAGTTCCGTGTGTTACATATGCCTCATTTCCTACGAGTCATATGGGGGAGTATGTCGGGAACCATGAACAATGCCTTAAGTCTTTTTCCGTATCGCTATTGTTGTTTTGTCATGACCGGAAATGTCTCCAATCAATCAATTTCCCAGAATGTACTTTGTGCTCCGAGGTATCACGTTTCTTTTCTAGTTGGTTGAGAAATCCTGCACATGGTCGAGTTGTTGTTGATGCTTTAGTTATACCTGGATTGTATCTATTCATCGATTAAAAGAGTTGATTAACCAGGGAACGTGTCTTTGGTGCGTTTTCGACAATCAGACCAAATTAAATTACATCATATATCATCCTCGTTAAATACATATCATGTTTTAAAGATGATTCCCATTCCGTTCTGCACAGTCTCCGCACCCTAATGTTTATATACATAAGTTCTTACTCAATGGAATGCGAATCGATGTTATTCGTCACAAACTACATACCTCATCTTTGAGGCGTTTCAAATTCGTTTTCCAACAGCTTCATTGATTTTTACAGCTGCAAAGTTGTAAATCTTGTGATGTCTTACATGAAACAGAAAGATGCGAACAAACTCGAGGGTGTGCAGTATCGACCAGAAATCATCTTTAATACCATTTGATTCTAAACTTCACAGTGATTCTGAGCAACTTATCATAAGAGGATGCTGGCAATCAAGGAGTTGACATTTTTCAGCAAGTCCAATACAGTAAATATGTAACAGAGAGGGACAGGGGAATATGTAGCTAGAGAGGGACAGTCCTTGTTTGTGAATGAATAAGGTCAATTTCAATACATGTCCTCAATAAAACCAAGAAGGTCAATGTAGAGATGTTCTGCCTGACTTAAATTGCTTGGTATCTGAAAATTTTTTTCACTCATTATCATATGGGCAAGTTCTGCAAACGTTTGGGAAAAGTTGTCTTGTTTTACCTCACAGGAAACATCCTTGGTAACCACTAGGTCTTCAGTGGATGTCTTATGAAGGTAAGATATCTTTATTGTTGTATTTATTCCTGATGTAATTGTAATGGCAATCATGCCAAAATGTCTTGAAAGATCCGGAATGCTTGTACCAATATATGCTGATGTTTTGAGGGTGGTTGATTCATTTAATACTCGGGCTTTCCAAGGGAAACACCCAAGTTGAAATTCCAAATCGCAGTCAAGTCCTCATCAAGCATGCACAACCTTTTAACTCTGATGCATGTGCGACGTTTTGACTAATGAGCACATGGCATGGTGTAATGGTGGACAAAGAAAAGCTTTCGCAGTGCAAAATCAGCACAGACAGTGTATAATACACTCAAAATGCACACAAAATATGCACACATCATTCGCAGTAGACCCACACAAAAAGATGTCGAGCATTTTCGGAATAGGTTGGTCTGCAAACCTTGTGAGAGATCTCTTTATGAGTGAACATTCATGAGTGAACCTCTTATTGAGAAACAAGCTATATCAATTGAGCTATCTAATGTTAATCGAGAGAAGCATAGATGGAAGTCTCATCGCATTTGTAGACGTAACCAAGAACCCACCAGAATACCTATACAAAGTTTGAAAAGGTTAGAGATCAAGAGAAGAAAGGTTACAAAATTTGTCTAGGCACATATTCTCTCACGTATCCCCATGTCATCTACATTGTACTGTCATGTTAATGCTAAAAACTATTTAATGAAAGGACGCTTAAGTTTAACTTTTGTGAAAGAATTCGTCAAAGTATAAGAAAGGTAAAATAAAGTGCCAGTTGATATTTAACATTGTTTTCTTGTAACAAACTAATGTGTTCTTGCAAGAACAAGGCTCAAGTAGCAACTTATTGCAACTATAAATTAAGTAGAGACAGCAAAAAAATCCTGGCCCTCCAACACACATTGACCCTCACAAAACAATAGTAGCTCCATGTAGTCAAGGTAATGAGTTGGTTTTTGGACAGAATGTAGGACAACAATGTGCTGCAATGAGTTCGTGATCTTTGATTTACTATAACACACAAGGGATCAGCTCTGCAAATGATCTTATACAAATAATGAATATTGGAAATCAGCCTTATTCAAGTTTGTCACTATTAGCCAGACAGGCATATTTAATGCAGTCAGAATTACCAACAGCACCAAATGTGTTTGATACTAATTATCAACTGGTACTGTTCACCAAGAAATTGCTACAGAGGGATATCAGTACTGTATGTCTTTCCAAAGAGCCTTTGAGTCACTCATATCTGAAAGCTACACTAATTTCATAGTAACAATAGGGTGCATTGCTGTTGCAACCTATTGTAATAGTAATATGGGGTTCAAAATATTTGATTCTCATGCTAGAGATTTGTGTGGTAGAGGGCAGCCTCAAGGTACATGAGTTCTTCTCAAAGTACTGTCTCCTAATAGTTTAGTACATTACTTTCAGAGTATACATAACAATGATCTATTTGAAGTGAGAGGAGTACAAATTGAGAATATTCAAAATAGGATGGTTTCTCAAAACAGTCTGAAAAAAATTATAAACTTTAACCTAAGTTGTGCTGTACCTCTATACTCTCTTTGCTACTCTATAGCCATGTTCAAATTAACTAATTACAGTCCCTGATTATAACTGGATTACAATTACTTCAAACAATCCTAAGGGGGTTGTTTGAAGTAATTACAGTGCGTGATTGAACAAAATGGCGGACACATGGTGGTTTGAGGAAACCAAACTTTTGATCGCTTTATGGAGTGAAGAGGCAGTGCAACATGAGTTAAACACCATGCACAGCAAGAAACTCATATGGGAAAAAATAAGCCAAGGAATGGCCAATGGAGGGTACTCGAGAAGTGCACAACAGTGTCGTGATAAAATTAACAATGTCAAGCAAAAATATCACAAGATTCGTGAGGGCAACAAAATTTCTGAAAACCAACGACAAGAATGGGAGATGTTTGAACCAATGGACCGTGTTCTTGGCTGCAAACCAACCTCAAAACCTAGAGTGGTTGACTTGATGCCAAGCAGTTCTAAAGAGGAAGAAAAGATTTCCAAAGTGACATATCCTGATGATGGCGACAAAGCCTTTGGCAGTGTGGTTGATGTTTCATTCTCATCCCTCTCCAATGAAGATGAAAACGTAGCAGCAACTCCCTAAGAAAAGAGCAGATGCACAAAGACAACCGACATAAGCCTGGTGAAGAATCGAAATATTGCAAGCAAAGGTGGGATAGAACATGTTTCTACGCAGCCTTCTACCTCAACAAAAGATCTGTAATTTACTAGCAAGAAACACAAGAAACCTTGTAAAGGGGATAAAATTTCTGAAGCATTATCAACATTCACCAAAGTACAAAGGGAGCAGCAACAGTTATTTATGGAAGTGGAGGAAAGACAGGCCCAAAAAGAATTGGAGTTGGAAGAAAAATGAATGAAGCTTGAGCAAGAAAATGACCAATGCAGGGAAGCTTACTCCAAACTGTTCTAACAACGGTTTGATTGACAACTATCAACAGGATGGCCAAAACAAAGGTTAGTGCTTGCTTGACCAAAACCTGTCTCATCCGTTGTTGCTGTTTCATACGGCGTATTTTCCTGCTTCTAGCCTTCGAAGCTTCCTTTGCCTTTCTTCTGGCCTCCAAATCAAGTATTGCAGTGAATATCATGGCAGCTGTTCAATTGGGCACCATTTTGTTTTCAACTTTAGATTGCAAGGTTATCCCGCCTAGTCTATTTAAATTTTCGTAGATGTGAACAGAACAATAATTGAATAAAATCGAATGGAGTACGATAGATTGAATCATAATTTAGTTGAATATAATTTACATTTAGTGTGAACATGGCATATAATGAAACCATGTAATTACTGGAATTACAACTTATCCTTGCCCACCATTGTTTACAACAGCAAAAAGGTTGTCGCAAATCAAGTTAGAACACAACCAGCTATCACCAGCTTATCTTCCAAGAAATGTGGATGCTTGTGGAACTGAAGTAAATTTGATAATTTGTTTGAGAGTGAAGGACAATTAACTGATTAACTTCAAAGCAAGTCAATTCTTGAGAATGAAACAATAAATAAAACTTTAAACTTTGATACCATTGTATCTTTAAACCCACAAAAAGATCAAAATGTACACCGAATGCAAATATGGTGGACCATTGAGGCAGACCGGGCCGAGTTGCACGAAGTCGAGGCTAGCTAGGCCACAGCTTTTCCCTGATGTTTTGGTTGACATGAATGGCTGTACACGTGCTATCCCGCAAGCTTCTCTTGCTGGAAGAGAGCTCCAGACATTAAAATGCAAAGAACTTCGTTTTTTGGCTCAAATGAAGAGGTGATTCATTGAAGGGGTTGAAAACAAAGGCAGCGCTAGTGAAGAGGTAAGATTGCTTTGTGTTTTGCTGACTTGTCAAAATATCACTCCAATACATGTGAAAAATCAGATTTCACAAGCTAAAAGTAGCTTTCTTTCTGCTTTTAAGGGGTCAAACTAACCAACCAACCAAAACCAAACTACCCTTTCAGATGGCTGGTCTGGCGATATAAAGCAAATGCCTTTTTCCATGTGTGCCCATTTTTCCACTGTTAGTGCCATCACAGCTTTAGAAAAAACGATACTCCCCACAACTTAAAAGTTGCATTGTGCATTTTTAGAGGTCAAGAATGCCTCTGGCCAGGTCGGTTTTTGCAAACATATTTTGGCTCTTTTGTTAAAATTATGCAAGTTTCATTGTATGAGAGTAAAAGTGTGACCGACCTTGAAAACGAAGACAACATGCAGCCAAACTGGATCTGCACATCAGCTCTGAAGCAGTGGCATCACTAGGGAAGAGGAGACTGTATAAATCCACAACCAGTGATGGAAGTGTTGGTGACCAAAACAAGCTTAGAGTTAGACAAACAATCATCATCCAGAGACTCTGGTGTGAAATGTCTTTTGTATGAGGCCCGAAATAGCCTTAATGGCCAGCAGCCAGCAGCAAATTATTGGAACAGTTGAGAGAGCTTAACCCTAAAATGGCTTTATCACAAATTATGACTGCAAGAACTGAGTCAACAACAATTGTCCTGACAAAATTTGGAAAAAGTCCTCAAGGATCCTTTGCCATTTACCAACTATCCATGAATGAAGATAACTTTAAAGTGTTTTGTGACATTTCATCTGTCAACAGGTCAGATTCAGGCAATCATGTTAATGATTCTCAGTTAACTGCTTTTCCCAGATTTCCCCTCATGCTTCACATTAACAGTTTCAAATACCAACTGAGTGGGAGGGTGGCGGGGAGAGAACAGAGACATCAACACAACATATCACATGCCATTCTGTTTGAAAGTTAAGTTTTCATTCCAAGTTCATTTGTCAACTTAAATAGGAAAAAAAACACTGCAAACGGAAAACCGAATTATTTTCTCCTCTGGATCTTTTGAAAAAAAGGTCTCCTAAACGAGTGGCCCTGATTATAAATATTTAAGGATGGTAAACACATTAGCCTTAACTTGGCTGTTTCTCTAAGCTCAGTGTTTTCCTACATGCCTTTTTCACGTGAAATGAGGCGATTGAATGTATATAATAGACACTGAAAGAAATACAGTTGATGAAAATTTTAAATTTCTTATCTACAGGCTCTGGATACAAACTTATTGATGACTCTAAAAATATAAAAAATCTAGAACGAAATTTTTTTAGAGTTGCTTAGCTTTTCATTTTTCCTGAATCAAAAGTCAAGACTGCAAAATTCAAGTGAAAAGCAAACCAACTGTGATTAATGCCTTAAACAAGTCAAGATACTTCTTTTCGTCATACAACAAGTTACATATCATAAATATCATTCTTCTTGATGTCTTTTACGGTGTCACCAATGCCTTTCCCAATGCCTCCGTTGGTTAATATAGCAGTAAAAATTGTCAAAGTGTTTGGAAAATTGCTTAACTTTTTAAGTAGCGAAGTATAACCCCGTAACATTTTGTCTTTACAACACGACTGTTTTTTGCAAGTTACAAAACATAAATATAACTCCTCTTAGTGCTTTTACAAATGCCACCATGCATTTCTGATACCTCCATTGTTTAATACTGCTGTAAAAGATAAGTGTGCCATCAACATTTTATTTAGCGAAGTGTACTGTTCACATTTTGGCTTTGCAACGCTATTGTTTTCTGCAACTACAACTGATATGTCTCCATATGAAGTATTAAATTTGTTTCCCCACTGACCACTCGTATTTCGGTCTTTGCTTCTTCCCCTGCTTGTCGCCTGTGATGTAGCAACTCCCCTCAGTCAGCTAGGAGTCTTGTTGTCATCTTTGATGAGCACATGTCTCCTCATACACATGTGTCTAGCATCTGTAGATCATCATTTTATCATCTCAGGAACCTATCTAGAATTAAGAAGTATTTCACTAAAGAATCAGCAGCAGTTGCTGTTCACGCATTTGTCACATCAAAACTAGGCTATTGTAATGCATTATTATATGGCTTGCCTAAGTATCAGTGTTACGAAAAATTGTCTAAGTAAAGTCCCAGAACATTCTAATAGAGCATTCTAGAACCCTAAGTCATCTAGACGTGACCTTCTAGTAAAAGGAACATTCTGGAACGTTCTATTTCTTACATAATTGTTCAAATTTAGAAACCGTGTTAATATACTAAATTCAGTTCTTTAGAGAAGTTTCTAGATCCTTATACTTTATGTATATAAGAGCGACAGTTCCATCGAACAGAGAGAGAGATTTGCGAGGAAGCTTAGTGTTATAAAAACAAGAAGTCAAATATGTGGAAATAAAACAGTTTGTTGTTGTTACCGACGATCCTGAGTTTTGTCTAGGAACAACCCTGCTCTACATTGACACTCGTAACAATCAGTTACAAAGACTGCAATATGTACAAAACATGGCAGCTAGAGTTGTGTGTCAAATGAGTAATACCCTATTCACACCAGCAAAACATGTTTTGTTAAACTGGTTTTCATTGAATGAAAATTATAAACAGAGAACTGAAAAACTTGATTTTCCATTGGATTCAAGTACTTGCTAACTTGCATTTCCAATGTGCTACATTCAAGTCAAAAATATTCGGTTAAATAGTTTCTATGAAGAAAAAAAAAATTAAACTGTGTTTACCAAAACAACTTTTAAACATGTTTAAGCTTTGGTGTGAATGGGGCATAAGTTTCAGCATATCACACCTGTTTTGCAGTAGCTTCACTAGCTACCGATCCAATACCATATTATTTTCAAGACTCTGCTTCTAGTGCATAAATTGCTGAATGGGGCATCGCCTAGCTATTTAGCTCAGAAACTATATTATCATTCTCCTACAAGATCACCTAGGTCTGTTAGTAATGAACTTTTAATGCAACCTAGATCGTATACTAAGACTTATGGAGACAGCATTTGCTTTTCATGCGCCAAGAGAATAGAACTTAATACCTTAAGAAATTAAGAAGTCCAACACCATCTCAATTTTTAAAAGAGCACTTGAGACATTCCTCTTTAGTAAATATATTAATAACAGACCATTATTTTTATAGATTTATATATATCGCTTTGGATTTAATTTTATTTTTTAATCATTGTGAATTTTAGCTATGTTTGAGTATCATGTAATAAGATATGGCTGGCTTTAGTCTTGTTTTTCTTTTTTAATCAGTACGAATTTTAGCGATGTTTAAGTATCAATTAGTAGGATATGGTTTTAAATTTGCAAATTTTTGCTAATAGTGTATGATTTTGTATGATTGTAAAGCGCCTTGAGCAGAGGATACAAACGCTATATAAATAAAGTTGTTATTATTATTACAACACATACTGCATTAGCAATCCCTTAGGAATTAGTGACAATATAACACTTATGTCAGACATAACACATATAAGAATGGCAATTTCAGATTTAAGACTGACAATAATTGATGAAATCTCAAGCACACAACTTCAAAGGTTATGACAGGTACTTCATTCTAGAAGAACTCTACAAACAACACGTTACCAACCTACAGCAAATCGTCAATGTAGCCAAGATACTCTGTTTGGAATTGCCCGATGTCAAGTTCATCGACTCCATGAATTTTTTTCCCATGGCTTTGTCAAACTTTCCAAAAACATTTGGGATTGATGAACTAAAGAAAGGGTTTTTTCCCCATTTCTTTAATACCCAAC